AGTCCCTGCGTAGTCATAATTTTTATTTTAAAAACAAGCGACTTTATGCTTCTAATAATGCATTAAACCTGTACTGATCCGTAACTACTCTGAGAATCAGTCCAAATATGTGCTTATATAGTTAAATATAAAATCTGGCAAGCTGTGTTAATGAAAAAGATTATTAAAAATTATTAGTCACAAACTATCCAGTGAGGTCATCCACATACCTACGAAATGAACAAATACATGAAAGCTACTCTTTGGATTTGATATTTGGGGTAGTATTTTCTTCTTCCTTCCTCTGGTTCAAACACAAAAAACAAACTTTCAAATTCAAGGTAGCATTGTACATACACTTTGTTCTCTTTCGTCTAACACCAAGGTTTGCTGCATCCAACTTTGTTCTTTCCACTTTCATTTTAATGTATTTTTGTTTTCTCATACAAATCATTCTTTGAAAGTCCTTTTTCTTTTACACTTTATCAGTAGTGATAAATCATGCTCCAAGTGGGATCCCCCCCATCTGAGACCACCACCCTAAAATACCCTTTGAACTTGGAATCAAAGCTAGTTCTGGAGCTCACCTTTCAGCCAAATAATAGATTAGCTTATACCACCTGCAAGTAATGTGCCTCCTTAAACAATAAACTATATGAGACCAAACAGTCAACATTTACCCAAAAGCAAAGATGAGAAGCCAAGGCGGGGAAGGGAAGCTAGATCAACGGAAACAGAACGGAATGAAATGATGAGAAGGCAGACACATGGTGAAAATTGTAACTAATGTCACAGAACAATCTGCATAAAAACTGTTAAATGACAACCTAATCTGCTGTGTAAACTTTCACCTAATACACAATAAAAAAATTTTTTTAAAAAGAGGCTTCTCCATTAAAAGATAAAATGTGCCCTTGATCAACTTTAGAGCTCTCCAAAATTTCAATCAGATACTTTATGACCTTGCAAAGGTAAAGAACACCTACACTGATCAGTTTCTGCTGAGAACTTTCTGGTTCTACTGATTAATGCTGCAGAATTCTTCTTGAGGTGACAAAGTAGGAAAAGTAATTTATCCATAATGATCTTATCAAAAGTGGCCTGTGTGAAACACAGAGAGAAGACTTTCATGAATAAGACCAAGATGCTCACAAATCATAAGTCGATGACCCAATCTGAGAGTTCACAGGAAGATTTTTTAAAACGCAATCTCAAATTGTAATTGGCTAACCACTAGCATCAGATTCTCCTAGGTGTCGGTTACAATTTTTTTCCTTGGGTCTACTCAAGACTGTCAATCACATCTCTGTAGAGTCTGGCAGTGAAGCTGCATTTTAATCAAATTCCCCGACAAAGAACCACTGTGACTGTAACGACCAATTTTAACAGGAAGCAACTCCATCAGGAAACGTCCTCTCAGTGTTTGCTGTCTGCCTCCTACTTCATTTTAAGCTTTTTCCTGCATTATCTTGACCACTCTTGGCATGACGCTGTCTTGTTTCTCCTCAGTCTTTTCTTCTTCTCTAGGGCTAAACAATCCTAGGAGGCATTCTCTTAATTTTAGTCGCCTCCATGGGTTTACTTGGTTCCCCTTTTCTCTCACAAGTCATGTGACTCAGAACTAAAGCTATTCTAAGGGTGAATCCCATAGTGAGTAAGATGGCTCTGACGTGCCATTTTCCTTTTTCTTAAAGCCAGAAATTGCATTTATATATTAACATAATCTAATGCTACCTATATGCTAGAAAAATAAAACCATGAATAAGTTTTCATTATCGAAATAGGTGAACTTCAATTTACCGACAAGTACTAAAACAAGCAAGTTTTCAGTAAGTTTCCTCTAGGATATAACACTACACAGACCTTCTAGGACAAACCACCTTTTACTGGTGTTGACTTTGTTTTTAGGGCAGGCAAAGTTTTCACTGTAAGTCATTCTGTAGTATCTGTGTACGTGGTTTTTAACCTTGTGCGTTGTTTTATTATTTTTGTTAGAAAAACAGGCAGCCAGAATGAAGAATAACCTCCTATCTAGATCAATTTCTCGTATTTTATTTCCGAGATGTGGGACTATTTAACTTTGAAATGAGAAAAGTTGACATTTGCTGAGTATTTGTTATGTACAGAGTATTACTTTAAAGGTACTACTTAGTACATGCTCATCCAAAAAGCCATGTGGAGTACGTTCCAACCAGATCACACAGTTTCTACTTAATTAACTTTAGCATGGTAGTATCAAGAGGTAGAAAAAATCTTCTAGGTTGAATAACTTAGAAATTACTACTGAAATCAGCATGCAACAACCAGATGTACCATCACCTATTTTCAATGAAATGCTCTGGGCTCCTGGGTTCCTGCAGAATACCAACACAATTTAGTATCTGATTATCCATACCTAATACCTTTTCTCTATCACTGTCTATCCTGGACTAAGACTAAGGAATGTGTTTAGGTCACTCCTATAGTATGAAGTGAAGAGTGAGAGGTATGATGTGAAGGACAGAGTCCCGCAGTCAGAAATCTTAGGTTCAAAGTCTTATTCTGACTCAAAATTTGTGACTTTGTACCAAGAAATCACTTACCTCCTTTGAACCTAAGCCTGCACGTAAGTCAAATGAAGACCCAGCAGTCGTCCGATCACAAACAACATGGGGAAAAGATGAGGTAACATATGAAAAGCAGCTCTGACAGACAGCAAATGTTAAATGAATCTCAGTGTTATCTGAACTCTACCCTAGAGGAGAACCAGCAGACTCCTCGGCAAACAAAGCAAGGCAAGTGAATGAGTGGGGACAGTCCATTCCCAGGAATGGTAGCCACCATGACCAATAAAAACAATCAAACAGTCTGATGCTCAGTGACACCTGAATTGCTTTAATGTGGAGTTACAAACTATTACCCTCCCCCTCTACATTATTACTTCTTTCTAACCTTACAACTCTACAATGATATGCACCTTGGAATTCCCAAAATAAACCTAAGTGGAAAAGGAGCTACATATTGCTGCTCAAGGGTGACAGTAAGTGTAGGTGTGGTGCTCCCACGATGCACTGGGCACCATCCTGAGCACTTGGTGTGCACACGGGAGCTCGTTTACTCATCACAACAGCCCTATGAGATGGGCACTACAATGATTCCCATTCTACAAATGAGGTGCTGAGGCATGGAGACCATTCTGCCCAGGATCACAGAGCTAGTCAGTAGCAAAGCTGGGGTGTGCATGTTTGCAATCTGGCTCCAAATTCCACTCTCAGCCACTCTGCTGTATTGCACCAGACAGAAATTACAGTCAAAGTCCTATAGTTACAGAACTATGCTAAACCTAAAAACAGTCCTATCTACTCACATCAAAAGAATACTAAAGTCTAAATAAAATCTTAAAAGTCATCGTGTGGACTTCCAGTCTTTTACCTTGATCCTCAAAGCACATCTATCCCTATGATAGAGATATTATCCCCATTTTACAGATACTAAGACTCAAGGCTACCACTCTTCCATCAGTTTGTTGTACTGTGGTGGCCTGCGTGTTGTTATGATGCTGGAAGCTATGCCACTCGGTATTTCAAATACTAGCAGGGTCATCCATGGCAGACAGGTTTCAGCAGAGCTTCCAGACTAAGGCAGACTAGGAGGAAAGGCCTGGTGATCTACTTCCAAAAATCAGCCAATGAAAACCCTCTGGACCACGATACATTATTATCTGATATGGTGATGGAAGATGAGCCCCCTAGGTTAGAAGGCACTCAAAATAGACAGTGGCTGCAAGAACGGACTTGAGCATGCTAACGATCATGAAGATGGTGCAGAAATCAGGCAAGGTTTCATTCTACCAGATGGATCAGAGCCGACTGCAAGGCAACTAACAATGGCAAAATTCCAACAACACTTACAAAAAAATGGAGAACCAGAATTTTCTGACACCAAAACTAAAAATTTCCAGTTTCCTCTTGTCCAAAGAAAACCAAACCTAAAATACACATTCCACACATGCCCCGAATTTAAAATTCTAAAAGATAACCTTGCAGTGTGTGTCAAAAATTTACACATATACACCCTATGACTCTACAAAAGCCTACCTCTAGGCTCTCTACTACAGAAATACTAGCACAAATGTGCAAAAGTATTTGTGCAAATACGTTTACTTCAGTAGTGTTTGTAACAGCAAAAACTAAAAGCAGCCTAAATATCCATCAATAGGTGAATGGCTAAATACAGTATGGCATGGGCACGTGCTAGGACACCATGTAGAAGAATGAGGTAGCTCTGGATATACTGACATGTACAGATAACGTGGGTATAGTATTAAGCAAAAAAACCATGTGACAGAACATCTGTAGTATGATCCTTTTTTTTATTAAAAGTAAACTCTGTGTATGTGTGTGATATATATACAGTACGGATACAGAAAAAGGGCTGGAAGAACTTAGTGGAAGTAAGTCTGTATTTGTTTGAAGTTATAATTACCTTTGAAATTATTTGAAGTTTTTGAAGTAAATGGACTTTGGAACCTATGTAATTTTCTACACAGAGGGAGTAAAATAAAATGTAAACTTCTCCTATTTACAAACCTTTGAGAATACAGTAAGGGTAGCATTGCCACAAAACTCTTGAAAACTCTTTCGAGATGCTCAACTAAGTCCTCGTAGAGATTTTAAAGGTTGGCAAGGCCTCTATTTTCAGACTGTCATAAATGAAGGCTTTTATACTGATAGATCTTAAAACGAAACAAGGAAAACAAAAACTTAGGCAAAAAAATGAGTAAGCTACATAATTTTGCTATACTTTATTCAAAATTGGCCCTACATCCTAATTATTTAAGGGAACTAAAAGTTTAGTGAATAAATGTAAAATACCCATTATTTGTTGAAGACTAATATTCAAGTCTGTGCTCTGACTCAAATTTGGCACAATTAAATCATTTGCCAGTCAGACACAAACTGTCACCTCAGCATGTAAAAAATGCCTGAAGTAACACAGCAAGTTAGCTATGACATCATTTATTAGACTCTCAAACTGAACTGGACTCTTCTGAAGTTACACACACCACAATACACCTTTGCACAGGTCATTTTATTCTCTCCTGTGGGTGTTGACAGTGCTCACAGATTATAATTTGAAACATTCAGAAAGCACATACCTGAACATTGTCACACTTCTTTACATCACGATTCAAGAACTATTAAACAGTTATGTCTACTAAATACAGTGAACAAAATGGTATAAGTGTTTACACCATTCCTTTGTAAACAAGGTCTTTGTGCACAATAGTAACAAATGGAATTGATGCATACCACAATATCAATGAGGAAAGACCTTCTCTTTAAATAAACTATTCTGTTCATAAATAAACTCTGATTTTTTTTAGTACACATTTACAGACCTGATCAACAAAAAGAAACAATACACATATTTTCCCTTAAGAAAATGTTGAGAAATGGACCACTATGGGAGAAGTCACCCAGGTAAGGGGCTCAGAAGCAAGCAAAGGGTAAAAGAGTTAAAAGTACTATCATACGGCAATCTATTTCTGTTAGCATATACCAACACAAGGACAAGACTGTCTGGCGAGGAGCTCATTTTTACTTGAATTCCAGCAAGTTGCAATCAATCTTGTAGTACACATAGGGGTAGTATTCCTGTTGACTGAGGTTTAAGCCTGGAATATCCATAGGAGCCTATGGGAAAAATCAGACGATTATTCAATTATGTAGTTAACCTACTGCCATTGAGTCAATTTCAACTCAGAGCAACCCCCCTAGCGTTTCCAAGGCTGTAAATCTCTACAGAAGCAGACTACTACATCTTTTTCCTGCAGAGCCACTGGTGATTGCGAACTGCCAATCTTTCGGTTAGCAGTCAAGCGCTTTATCCACTGTGCCACCAGGGCTCCTAATTATGCAGTTACAGAACCTGAAAAAAGAAGGAAAAAAGTATTACCACTTACCTTTTTTACTGAACACCTACTCTGCACTAAATTTATACACTTAGGCTAATTTAACCTGAGTTAGGTATTATCATCTCCATTTTGCAAAAGAGGAAACTGAGTCTCAGAAAGGTTGACAGAGACTAATACAGCCAGATTCAAGCTCTCTTTGACTCAAAACCCTATGTGTTAAACCAGGACTCTACCACTCTTTTTCATGTATACCGTAAAAAATTACTTATTTAATCTTGGGCTTAGGGTAGAGTTTAGTACTGAGCTTCTGTAATACAAGGCTTATAAAATGTTGGATAAAAGTAAACTAAGTGTGGTTTTAAAGATATCACTTACTATATATGCATGTTGTAAGAATTTACTGGTAGCAAATTATGTAATGAATAGTCAGGCCTCATATTTTGACCACAATTCTACGAAAATGTAGAAACTCATTTCCTGCATTTTCTTCTATCTGGTAAGAAAAACTGGTTTTTCATGAGTTCTAACTAATGCACACATGAGATCCTGTCAATTTTAGAAAAATGGTGGTTGCCTTTATGCTTATCTATTGACTCCACTAATTCTACTAAATAAAATTAAAATTACTACTTATTTTAGTCCTCTTTGCAATATAGTTTTTGTAAACAACTAGTATCACTGGTTGTTTCTGTATTTCTGCAGCTATAAAACATCTATAGCAAGATAATACTGGCTTTTAGAAATAGTAAGAAGCAAAAGCTCTAACTAGCACTAAACAAGCTAAAATATTTTAACACAAAATACACCAAACCCACATGAACCACAGCTTCATCTGTCCTGAGACCAGAAGAACTAGATGGTGCCTGGCTACTACTACCCACTGTTCTGACCAGGGACACAACAGATGGTCCCAGACAGAATGGGAGAAAAATGTAGAACAAACCTCAAATTTCTAACAAAGGCCAGACCTACTGGACCAGTAGAGACTAGACAAACCCCCAAGATTATCACCCTGAGATACCCTTTAAACTTGAAACTAAACCCACTCCCGAAGGTCACCTTTCGGCCAAAGAACAGATAGGCTCATAAAATAAACAACATCACCCGTGAGTACCGTGCTCCTTTAAATAATCAGCTATACAAGACCAAATGGTCAATATCTACCATAAAGCAAACATGGAGGGTTGGGTAGGGGAGGGAGGGCAGAGAAACTAGATTCATGGAAACAGAACAACCAGAATGGAAATAATGAGAATGTAAGCAATGTCACTGAATGATATGCAGAGAAATTGTTAAATGGGAACCTAATTTGCCATGTAAACTTTCACCATAAAAAAAGAATGTTACCACTGGGAAAATCGGATAAAGTATACAATGGATCTCTCTGTATTATTTTTTACAACCCCAAGTGAATCTACAATCACCTCAATAAACATTTTCACTTAAAAAAATAAAAAAAACCCCACCAAACCCAAATTGTTAACCTGGCACTACTCCTTCTGGCCTTTATCTTATGGTGAGCTATCGAGATCAAGAGAAAATGATTTTGGGGGAGCAGAGTGAAGAGAAATGTTTGGAAATTAGAATACTGTTGATCAAATGGATTTTAGTAACATGTAGTAACACTCTCATTAATTTACAGTCATTATACTTTTTCCTGGTTCAGTGGTAGAATTCCCTCCTTCCACACAGGAGACCTGAGTTCAATTCCTGGCCAATGCTCTTCATGCACAACCACCACCTATCTGTCAGCGGAGGCTTTTGTACTGCTGTGATACTAAACACGTTTCAGTAGAGCTTCCAGGCTAAAACAGACTAGGAACAAAGGCCTGTCAATCTTTCGTAAATCAGCCAATGAAAACCCTATGGATCACAACGGTCCGACCCCATCATGCATGGGGTTGCCATAAGACGGGGGCCAAAGTAACGGCAGCTAACAACAACAACAAACCTTTTTCTAAACTTTTTGCCCTTATTTTTAATGGCTGGGGGTTGTGGGGGAAGACAGAAAGCCAACAGAAAGTGAGTGTTTACTAGATGCATGCATGCAAACATACATTTATAGGTACTGTTATGTAATTAACAGGAACACCACCTATTATGTAATAATAAATACAGATTAATAATCCGTCTTCTCTTTTCTTCCTTATATACCTGTTTAGTACGCTAGACTTCCACCATTCATTTATTCACAAGTATTTACTGAACAGGATGAGGTTCTGTGAGTGTGTCAGGAGCAGGCCAGAGGGGAAAGGAGAAGTAATTACCACCCAAGCTCTAGGTAGCATATGAAAGTGCTATAAGAACTGTGTAGAACAGTGTTTCCCCATATACAACTCTGCCTCAGAAACACCAAGGGCACTTTTTAAACATCCAGATTGCTAGATCCAATTCCCAAAGAGTCAGTTCAGAAAGTCTGGGGACTGTGACATGCAGCCAGGCTTGGAACCCACCCACATGGAACACGCTCTGGAAGTTCAAAGCAGCAGCTGTGCTTGAAATATCTGAGTAGAAATATCTGAGCTTGACTTTGAAGAACAAGGAGTTTGGCAGAAGGAAGCCCTGAGAAGAGTAATGGAAAAAAAGAAACAGCAAGAACGTGAAAGCATTGGTGAAACCTCAGGAACAGAGGCAGCTGGCTGAAAGTGCCTGCATGGGCCCTGGGCAACAGAGGAAGCCAAGCCTGTGCCTTGTACTTCCGTGTTCACCGTCAGTGAGGCCTTCCTTTGCGTTATACAAATGGAGCAGTCAGTCATAGTTCCTGACTGGAAATTATTATTAGCTCTATAATGCTCAGGTTCTACCATTTCCCTTTAAAAGGTTCCAAAGAGTTACCAGCAATGCCTTTAAAAAAATTCATTAATTATAAAAATTATAAATGTTCTAAAATTTATATACCTCACTCCTAAAGCCAGCAGCATGCTCAGTGAGGAAACCTTAGAGACCTTCCCTCTAAAGCAAGGAAAAAGACAAGGATGTCACTAACTCCACAACTAATAACACTGTTCTGAAGATACTAGGCAATGCAATCAGAATAGAGAAAACAATACCATGTCAATCAAGCAATCAAGTTTGTCAATGACTGCCTTTGAAAGTATGTGCCCATAGTTTTGAAAATATCTTTATTAGAACCAGTGGAAGACCTATTACATCTTGCTGAGCAAAGACAATGTACAAAGCATTAATCTCCAAAATACTTGTATCATGCGCTAAAAACAAAACTAAACAAATGCCACCAAAAAAAAAGAATAGAGAAAAAACTAAAGCATAAGAACAGGAAAAGACGAAACAATTTGCAGGTGACACTCATAATACATCTGGGAAACCAAAGAGAACCAATGATGAACTAATTCAAACAATAAATAACTTCTCTCATAAACAGAGAAATGTAAATTAAAATTACACTGAAACACTCTCTCTCACCCATCAGATTGGCAAGATCTACTGGCGAGGCGGTGGGAACAGGCACTCTCACACACTGCTGGTGGGAATGCGAAACGGTACAAGACCTATGAAGGACAATTTTAAACCATCTTCTAACAAAACTACATATACGTTTACCCTTCAACCCAGCAAATCTCACTTCTGGGAATTTACTTGAAGATATACCTCCAATAATATGGCCAAAGTGTTTAACTGTGTGTTGTTACAAAGTCTACATGAGTCCCTGAAAGCAAGAAAGGCTGGAAAACACGATACCCTCTAAGGTATTATATCCATCAGAAAGCCTTGGATGTAAAGGTGGATAAGATGATGTTCATGGCTGTTATGCCTAGAGCATCCCTCAGAGTTTAGGTCTTCGAGATAAACCACAGGCCATCAAAAATCTGTAGACTTCTGTTTGCTTTGAAAACTGTATTTATATAAGGAAATAATGTAAACGTATGCATGTCTTCATTTTATATACTTGCAACTGTAAAGAAAAAAAATGACGTTCACACACTATAGTTCAGCTCTACCTATTATTTCAGTGGTACCTTTAATATGCTTTCTACACAGTTATTTAGAAGTAACACTTCTAAGGAGAATCTGAGAAAGAAAGAGCATTACAGTTATAAAAAGCCTCATTTAACCCTCCAACAATAATCTATAGGAGGTACTATTATTATCCCCATTTTATAGGTGAGAAAACTGAGGAAGTAACATACAGGTAATTCGTCTAAGGTCATAGCCACTGAGTGATAAAGCCAGAATGTTAACTCAGAAAATCTTGTCCACAGCTCATGTCTTCAACTATTACATTCTGCTGTTTTTTAAAAATCTTTCCTAAAGTATAAGATTCCTCGCTTGAGAATTCAGGGATATCAAACATAAGATTGTTAACCGTATATATACACTAATCAGGGATTTTATAACAAGGTGTGTTTTGGGTAAAAGGTAAAGAGGAAGTAACACAATAAAACAGGTTGCAATAGGATTTAAAAAGTAATGGAAAAAAATAAACCTTTTTTCTGAAAGTAACCCCTCGGCCTAGAAGAGTTAAGAAAGGCTCAAGTCCTGCGTCTCTAGATCCTCCACTCACTAGTCTAATGGTCCTACACAAAGGCCTTAAAATGTCCTGGGACTGCAGGATTTTCATGAAATCAAATCTATCGATGTTTTTTCTTCTGTGATTTATTTTCCCCATCACACCATTACTATTCCACTTAGTCCTCTCCTACCAAGAGAACAAGTTTTGGTTTTGTTTTTAATGATCTGGGGTTTTGTTCTTGTTACTGTTTTTGTTTCTTACATTATTTAAATTAGTGTTGATCAAAGCATGGTCCACGAACAGGTACTAGTCTACCAACTGTTCGTTACCATGTCATAACAAGGTAAGTACAGAACTGCAAAGTTCACAGTTAGAAACTTCCGTAACAATTTGACAGGGTAATTTTCTGTCTTTTGAGGCTAATAGACAAATTTGGACTTTATTTTGTACGTTTAATAAAGTAATGGGGAAAAAAACCAAACATTTTTCCAGAGGCAGCCCCTCTACCTGGAAGACTTAAGAAAGTCTTGAGTGCCAGTTTCAGTTCTAGATCCTCCACCCACTAGTCTAGTGGTCTTGGGCAAATGTCTTACAATGTCCTAGGACTGTAATTCTGCACGTAGAAAAGAGGGATTATAAAAGCTATACCTCGTTGATTTCTTTCAAAGATTTAAAGGCTAAATTAAAAGAAAAACTGCATGTGAAGGCCCCCAGCAAACTGCCAACCCAGTACATACATGTTAGTTGAATGAGACTTTCAACAGAAATTTTTTTAAGTTCTATGACAATATAAGCTCAAGAACAAACAAAAACATTGAAAACATTTTAAACACTATAAGAGAAATCTGTAAGGGGAATTATTCCATTTTAATAATAAGATGGAAAAAGGCTTAGAGCAATAATGCCTTAGAAACACCAGCTCAGGCAATATGGCTACATCAGTTAGCCAAGCTTAAGTTCCTCACAACATGAGTCAGTCATGCCACACCGTACGTTAACTACTTGCTCCCTTTATCTAAACAAACTCAGAGTTAACTGAAGACCTCAGATTAATAAAGTATCACAACATTTACTATCCCTTTTGTATCTTCTCCAAATAATTTTTCCTGAAATTCATTCCAGTTCTTACTCTGCCAAGGCTCTCTAGTACTTACATCAATAATAGCTGCTGCACTGCTGTCTAGATGTTTATACAATTCATATAATACTTCTCTCAGTTTCTTGATTGTTTTCTTATTGGGTTGAAGTAGCATTGCTTGAAAGTTCACTGGCAAGCCATACCTTATAAGGAAGCAGAAATACAGTATACAAGTAAACACATAAAGAGATTTTCTTTTTAAAGTAAATATTCACGTACTGTTTTAATCACAGTTAAAGGGGAGAGGGAATCTCATTTTAATGACCCCCTTTACAAGTTCAACTAATACACACAGAAATTCAGACCCTCTCTGGTTCTGTCTGCTAGAAATATCTCTTTCAAGTAAGAGGCTATTCTCTTCTAGGAATTACTTTAATTACTACTGAATTTTTAAGGTAATCTATGAATACCCTCAGGAAATAGGGATAATACGTAAGCTTAATAAATACTTTCATAATAATAAAGAACATGAAATTGCCCACATCTACTCTGACGGTTTGAGGAAATTTAAAAATAATAAGCACTGTTGCAAGTAAGTTATTTAACTATTTCAATTATGAGCAACATGTATAGACAATCACAAGATGATTAAGTATCTCCAAATGTTAAACTATTTTAGGTTGATATACCGAAACTACATGTAAAATATTTGAAGAGCTTCCTTTTAAACAAAAACCTGTTGAGTTGATTCTGACTCACAGCAACCCTATAGGGCAGAGGAGAACTGCTCCATAGGGCTTCCTAGGCTATGATCTTTACGGAAGCAGACTGCCACATCTTTTACCTGCAGAGCAGCTGGTAGGTTTGAACTGCTGACCTTTCAGTTAGCAGCCAAGCGCTTAACCACTGTGCCACCAGGGCTCCTTCCTTTTATAAAAAACATTGGCTAATATCTTATGATCTACTTTTAACTTAAATTTTACATAAGAAAAGAACCAGAGAGTACAGCAGCATGGATCTCTTTCTCTAAACCTGATGTTAAGGGACAAGACTAATACACACTTTATAACCTGTATACTGACAATTTCTCCTTTATGATTAGCCCTTTGGTTTCTCAATTCAATTTCATATTATTGGACTGTGTTATAATGGAGGACCAACATAAAGAAACCTAAGAACTCTTGACTCTCAAGTTTCTCAATTTACTTTCTTTACCTTAAAACAGACTCAACAAAAACCCTTAATGCTTTCACATGAATCCAAGCAATAAACGCCTCACTGAAATTCACTTTCAGCCACCGCACAAGTGGTCCCTATGAAAAGGGGGGAAAAGAATCAATTACTGGAAATTTGATCTTGAAAAAAGCAATTAGATAGAAAAAATATTTTTAAAGAAATAAATATCCACTCAGGAATCTACAGAATTAAATCACCTTATATTTCTCTAAAAATATTACAAGTATTATTCTCGTTATCTCAGACACTTTACCCTAAACTAGGTTAAAAGGTGAGCTACTACTCCATAACTCTCTTAACAGATATTAAAATACATAGAACCAATTTACTACATAGAAAAAGGCATATGATTTAATAAAAGTAGTTTAAACTGGTACAAAATATGGGGGTGTCCTAGGTTTGAAAACCAAAACCAATACTCTAAAACATTTAATGTTATTTAAAATTCAACTTAAAAACAACTTCCCAGGAACAAAGACAAAATAGTTACGTAGACAAGTCATTGAATATCCCTAGGTCTCAGTTTTCTCATCTGTGATTGATCTAGTTAGATCTCTAAAACCTATTCACGCTCTAAAATTTTAATGGCTTTATTATGTAATATAAGTTCCTTGTGAACTTAAAATATTTTAATATGATTTCCAGTACTAAATAAAAATATCTCTTTAAAGGAATAGATTTCACGTAACTTAATGCCTCCTCTCCATATTTAAAAGATACACATTATCAATTCAGCTAATAGTTACCTGGATAACATTAGGCACATGTGGATATACCAACCAATTAATTTAAGCAAAAATTATAACAACAACAAAAAAAGGTGAAAATCTTTGATTAAAACGTGTTCTTAAAAAGGATTTTACACTGGACATTACTTGGGTAGTTTTCTCCCAACAGAGATGATGTAATTTGTAAAGCACTTGAAATCATTTTAAATGAAATTTGGCTTTATTTGCTTTCACATTACAAGAGAAATACATTTTCACTGATCACGTTTCCCCTCCCACACAAGCTTTTAATCTTCACAGTAATCCTACCCTTGATGATGGCAAGAAAGTTGATACCCATCTTTCAGTTTCACAACTCCATCCCTGCTCCCCATTATGCCTCGAATACTAACTGTTCAATGATTAAAATACAAGCTGCTTCAACAAAAGACTGAGGCATTAAAAAAATCTGCCTCAAGAAAATGCAAATTCTTACTGCAAAGAAGACTTTATTATTTAACTAAAATACCCTACTAATAATACCCTACACTACAGGAGCATTAACTAAAACACTGCATTTAAAATTAAATTTTGACAAGGATTTAGAAGGAATAATTTATTTTAAGGTCTGCCTTTTAAGATAACTACTCACAAATCTAAGCTTCCTTAGAGAAAATTCACTGATAATTCAATTGAAAAAAATAATAAACACAACTGTCTTAAAAGCAAAACCAGAAAAACTTTACTTTCTCTTAAATCAAAGCAATACCACTTTATCTTGTGTTTAACATTGATATTACTAAATATTAAGAACACATACAAATTGCTTCTTCTTGTCAGTAGAAAGCCTGTTCATTTCTTCTTTATCTGCTTTCATCTCCTCTTCATTATACTGGAAGTCACGAACGATGAATCTAAATTTGAGGGAGGAAAACAAAATTGTTCAAGCTGTGTACAGTTGATCTAACAAATTCAAAAACAACGTCTGAAAAAAATAATAATCTTACTTGTTTTCCCTGGCTTTGTGTCTGAAGTCATCAACTGCCTTCCGAAACAAGGTAACATTACAAAGGTAGCTGTCTTGGTCCTCTGAGAGAACGCTATGAGAAAAATTCCATTTAGAGATTTACATTTATTTCTCTCCTTCATATAAAAGGAAGAATTCAGAAATGGGGAGGAGGAGAAACAGTAAGGTCTAACAGGCCTCACCAGCACATCAATTCTAATCATCTACATTGCTTCAAACACTGATGGCGTTAACTCAATAGTTAACTTGAACACTAAGAACCATGATTTTCAACCTTTAAGAGTATCAGGCTGACCTAGGCAAAACTGTCCAGTAGGTGGCTTGTTTCCAGTGTCTCTTTCCTTGCTTGTTAAGTACCCTCTTCTCTTCTGGAAGACTACTTCTCATCTGTCCATCCCAGCCCATCCCCAGTGAGCCTGGCCCACTCTCTCTGCACTGTCAGTACCTCAGATCTTTCCTTTTCTCCCACCACACACTAATCAAAAATTGATAAATGCGACTATCTTAAGTAACCGCTGAGTAAACACACTTTTATGTGTCTCAGGGGTCCATTCTAAGTGTTAGAAGGTTCAAGTGAAGTCAGAACTTCTATCCGGTCACAGTGTATGGACATCACTGGAAAGAACTTTCCAGACACATCAGGAAATTTTAACTGTCAAGTAAGTTTGTAATGCTTTGGGGAAAAGTTCATATATAGCATGATTCTAAATTTGGCTTTCAAAAATTACTTACAGCTACTTACATATGTAAACCCGTATGCAAGGTCTACATAAGGCTCACGCCGTTCTACAGTGATGGTCTTGGGGTGGGAGAACATTACTTGGGGGTGATGAGGGTCTCTTCTCCTTTTTATTTTTCATGTTTCTGGGGTGTTTCTAATATGATGCTTTGTTTTTATTTACAATGTGTTACTTCCACAATCAAAAATAAAAGTTCTACAAGACTGAGGAAGTGCTTGTGGAATGCAAAGATACTTTGTTAGACACACACACACACAAAAGAAAAGAAAAAGCTAGTTTTGTTTCCCCAGGAAGCCTAAGAACTGCCGGTTAGTCAAGTAAATTCAGGAGGCAACTACAATGCTTAACTTCAGAATGCCTTTAAAAACAAAACCCACCCCAGCTCGTCAGCCAACCACAGGATCGACTGCCCCCGCAGTGGGACCTGCAGACACCGGTGGGAGTACTGATCACTGTAATCAGGGACATGTAGAGAAACTGCTCTGGATTGATAATGTTTAAGTCTCCGTTCAAACCGTGCCTTTCTCAAAACTATGACCCTTACTTCTTGCTCCCAGTGCCTATCAAACCCAAAAGGCAGCTACCAAGTGGACAGAGTTGGTAATAATAAAATCTTTTTCGCCAGGACCGACTCAGTGATAATAAAATCTTTTTTTGCCAGGACTGACTCAGTGATGTGCAAATTAGTTGAGATCAAAACAAATCCAAACCCAACTTGACAGGCTACTTCAGACAGATAAATGGTATTCCACCATTACCATATTAATCCTTTAAATTTACACAGCACTTTGCTATCCTGAAAGCCCTTTCAAAAGCATTTGATGCTTGGCACGGCCACATCAGTGAACAGGGTATCTATTATGCAGATTCCTATCTGTCACATAGAGACCCGGGCACAAAGTTGTACGATTTACTCAAAATCCTTACACTGAAAGAAGCCAAGATAAAAACTCAGTCTTGTTTTATTACTAGAATCACATTGCACCACTTTATTAAAGTAAGATTAAAAAATCACTTGCTTTTCCTTCTAATCTTCAAGAAAGGTATTTCTTAAAACCTTATAAAAAGCAAACAAAAAAACCATGAGTTCTAAGTGTGATCGATTTTTAGTCATTTAGCATGTACTAGGGCTCGATACATGTGCCAAGCTCTTGCTAAATATTAGGAATAAACACTGAGACATGTTTCCCTGACCTCAAGGAGGTGAAGTCTATAAAGGAAACAAACAGGTTACTACAGACAGAGTTTTAAGCACTACAGTAAAACCTGTGAAAGCCAGAACCTCTGTAAGACAGAAACCTGTCACAGAAGGAAAACTCAAGTATTTTCCACTAAACAGAGAGTGATAGTCAAGTGGTGACTGTGCTGTGTTAAAGGTGAAAAACTTGCAAGATCTGGAAAAATAAGGCAGTCCCATCGAGTTCCAGCTCTCACAGATTTCACTGACTAATAGAAGATGTATATGATACATTGGGGCAAAAAGGAATGAATAACTTTGCCTGAGGGGCACAAAAGAGGTAGTGCCAAGTGGAAGTCTGAAAGACAGGCAAAGGAGAGAAGAAAATCCCAGGCAGACTCTCACATGCAAATGTCTGCAGGTGGAATAGGTGGTGTGTTTGGAGAACTACCAGAAATTAAGTATAGCCGGAACATACGGCACAAAGAGGTGTGTATATGTGTGTTGTGAGGAGACAGTAAAAGTGAGGAAAAACAGGGTTTTAAGTGGGAGTAACAGACAGACTTGTGTATCACCAAGAGGCAAATGGCAGTAATGTGGAGGACTGATGAGAGGGGGAAATACTGGCGATAAGGAGTTAATGACAATTACAAAGATCCAGGCAAGACATGATGAAATCTAAACTGAAGCAGTAGCAGTAAGTACAGGAGAAAAAAGAACAGTTTAAAGTAGGCTGAAACAAGAAATTGTTGATACTTGGCCATTTCTGACCTATGAAACAGTCACTTCATAAGGTTCAACAAATACTATGGAAAGTAGAAATGACAACTGATTAGATGGGGGCTGAGGGAGAGGTAAAAGTCTAACATGCCTGACTACCATGCCTCTGGTTTAGATCTCTAGGTACACGCTGCTGCCACATGCTACAAGGGAAATGAACAGGTTGAGACTGGGACTGGTGGTTTGCCTACGGAACATCTGCATGGAGTGGACCAGTAGGAACCTGGTTATACGGGTCTAAAGCTATGGAGGGAAAGCAGGCTACAGATGGAGACTAGAGCGATGGGTGTGGATGAAACAGCCTGGCAGAAGAACAGACTGCCCCGCTGAAATGGAATAGCCTAAGTCTGGAGTGACCAATATTCAGGGCCACCGATTCTTCCAGTTCACCCAACAATTCAGGCATAGATAGGAAACTCAAAATAAAGATTCAATCAAGATGAGAGTTTTCATAAGGTCACAGGGGCCAGAGGTGATGGTGCTGCCAAGAGAATGGCTGAAGTGGTGACTAAAGAGTCTAGGTCAAAAAGAGAGGAAGCATGATTCCAAGGAAATCAACAAAGACAATGCAAATAAAGGGTTGGGGGACTGGAGATGCAGACAAGGTCAAACAGCAGGTTCAATGGGAATGGGAAAGCTCAAGAGAAGATTTTGGTCTAGGAGTTAGATTACAGACAGGATTCCAGACATAGAGCTTTTCTAGTGGTTGAGGGTGAGGCCAACGGAACAGGCTGTAGAAATCAAGCAGAGGTGACGATCCATGGGCTGCAGGCACCAGGGAGCTGAGAAGCCAAATGTTAGATGGATTTTAAACCAAGGCAAAACCAAAGTGATCTTAAGCGATATGAGACCCAAGTAAATGTTATGGATTGAAATGTGTCCCCCAAAAATATGTTTATCAATTTGGCTAGGCTATGATTCTCAGCACTGTGTGACTATCCACCATTTTGTGATCTGATGTGATTTTCCTGTGTTGTAAATCCTACCTCTATGATGTTAATGAGACAGGACTCAATCTGTAAGACTGGACTGTGTCTTAAACCAATCTCTTTTGAGACATAAAAGAGAGAAGGGAGCAGGGACACAGGGGCACCTCATACCATCAAGAAGGCAATGCCCGAAGCAGAGTGCATCCTTTGGACCCGAGATTCCTGCACAGAGAAGCTCCTAGAACAGAGGACTGATGACAAGGACCTTCTCCCACAGCCAAAAGAGAAAGAAAGCCTTCCCCTGGAGCTGACGCCCTGAATTTGGACTTGTAACCTACTAGACTGAGAGAGAATAAACTTCTCTTTGTTAAAGCCATCCACTTCTGGTATTTCTGTTATAGCAGCACTAGATGACTAAGATAGTAAAGAAACAAAATGAAAGCCACGAGAAAAGGAAGGAAATGAGAAAGTAACATCTTTTAATAACTAAGCATGGACTTGAACCCTCCCCAGATGGGATGTTGGCCAAGAGCGATGCTTGAAAGGGGGCTTAGTATAGTTTAACCTAATATGCGCAAGCTCCACTAGGTTCAAATAAATAACCCAAACTCTTTCTCTTCCTTTAGTTTTACTGTTATGTAGAAGTAATAACACTATCTTCTAACAGATGCAACTAGGCTACAGGAAATGAGAATTCAATGGCTAGTCAATGTTTTTCAGATATTTCCTGCCATTTTCAGTCACCCATGTAACTATTAATGCTCTCCAGAGCTTCCCACTGCTACTTATCTCTTTCCTAAAACCTGCCATCCCCTCTACTCACTCCTACACCTGTTCCATTGCCCCAACCTATCTTCCCTGCCTTTCTTCATAAAAGTTATCTTTTCAACCCCGGCTCCAAAACACAAGACAATCTTTTCTCCGTACAATGGCTACTATCATTTTTTTTCCAGGCCTTCCTAGCTAGGATCCTTTGCTTCATTTGAAATTCTAGCTTCCCGAACAAAAACCTCTGTAAAGCACCAATGACTTTGTGGTGCTGTTTCAAAGGGCTGGGACCTCTCACAAGGTCAGAGTGTACTTATGAGTCATCTGTAGCACAAGGATTGCCTGCATTAAAATGTTCCTGCTTGGTCCTTTTTTTATTTTAAACTTACTAACATGATTTTCACAAGATCTAAATCTCTGAAGAAATATTTTTTTCCAGATACGTGCACATATTTAATAATATTACTTATGCTACAAACATCTTGTATCTACAATATTCAAAATTTTTAAAACAAAAATAATACCCAAGTATCACCATTGACATTGTCTGAGTTGTGTTTTCATTTGGGGGTCACAAGTCACTTGCCCTCAAAAGAAAACTCCATGAGAGGATAACCTGTTTTCTGGAAACCTTAGAATTCTTCTTTAAAAATAATTTTTATTTTTTGTTGTTGTTGAGAATATACACAGCAGGACATACACCAATTCAACAATTTCTACATGTACAATTCAGTGACAGTGATTACTTTCTTCAAGTTGTGAAACCATTCTCAACCTCCTTTCCCGAGCTGTTTCTTTCCCATTAACATAAACTCACTGTTCCCTAAGTTTTCTATCTAATCTTTCCAGTTGCTGTTGTCAATCTGATCCCATATAAAAATATCTTAAAAGAACACAATGCTCAAGGCAGACATTCTTTACCAGTTAAGCTAAACTACTGTTTGGTTTTAAGAAGGCTTCAGGGGATATTTTTGGTTTAAGCTTTAAAGATTATCTCAGGGCAATAGTTTCAGGGGTTCATCCAGCCACCATGGCTCCCGAAATTCTGGATTCCATGAGAATCTGAAATTCTGCTCTGCATTTTCTCCCCTTTGATCATGATTCTTCTACAGAATCTGTAATCAAAACATGCAGTAATGGTAGCCAGGCACCATCCAGTTATTCTGGTCTCATGGCAAACGAGGCAATTGTTCATGGAGGCAATTAGCTACACATTCCATATCCTCCTCCTATTCCTGTCTTCCTTCCTCTGCTGCTCCAGATGAAGTAATATTTTTAAAGTCCTTCTTTTGGAAAAAATCTGGGCCTACTTAACTAGCCTACACACCACTTGCCTGGAAATCTGGCTTGGCATATGCACAGCTGTGGAGGACATTCTCTGCATACTGAGTCCTCACTCTTCTATTCCACCTGCCACCTAGACATGAAGTCAACCTCTATAGCTTTAATGCCCTACAGAGCACAGGTGAGAAGGTGACATCTGTCAGGATAAACCACTGAGTGAAAAATTATCAAGGTACAACTGTAGTCTTCAGTTTACATTTGAAGGGCTGGTTTTATTTCCTCAAAAATGGGGAAAAAAATTCATGATGAGCATAAGTTTGTTGTTTAAAATATCAGTATTTGTGAAACTACAATAACTGTACTAGTTCATATTTTACATACCCTACCAACTCTTAAAATAACCTCATAATACCAAAAAGGTACTATGCTCACTTTACAGATAAAGAAAATGAGGCCCAGAGAAGTTAAAAGACTTACCCCAGGTCACACAGCAAGTTGGTAGCAGAACCAGCATTATAACTCAGATCCCTGGATCCAGGACTCTTTCCATTATACTAAGCTACCTCCCATATGACACAATGAAACTGGAAAAGAAAATATTTCATGGGCCTGGCCTTACTAATACCACCTACCTCTTTACTATCTCCTATACCTTCCTTCCAACAGGTTGCCTCCTCCTAAGGCGTATACATACAAAAGAATCCTTTCTGGGCTGCATATACCCTGTATTCAAATATTTCCCCAAGGAACACTTCATGTGGCAATGTCAGAATATAAGAAAAAATAACATGTATAGTCAGAAGAGTACAGAATCTGGAGCTAACAGACCTGAGTTCTAGTCCTATGACTTGGACACATACAGTCATACATCTTAGGCAACTATTTTAACTTTTCAGCATTTGGACTTTCTCATGAAGGAGAATGACAACTATCTGAACCACTTCACAGGATTGTTGTAAATATCAAATTAGACAACATATGGTAAACCTGTAAATAAAAAAATGCTTTATAAAAGTCTTTTTTTTAATTATTATTTAAGGAAAGCATAGATTGTGTAAATTCTATCCTCACTGGAAAGTGATAGAGAAGATTTGGAGGTAAAAGCAGTACTCTAGTAGAATATTCTAGTAGCCATTCTGGTATACCTCCTTTGCAAGGTAAAATGAAGAATTGTAGCCACAAAGCAGGTATGCGATGAATACTGAATGAAGAATTTTCAGAAGGCAGCACAGTACAGCAGAAAAAGTACCACATCAGAGACCTGGGTTCTGGTTCTAGTCCTGCCACTAATGACATGTGTTGACTCTGGGCTAATGACTTGACTTCTATGGCCTCAAACTTCTGCATCTATAAACATGAGTGGGTCAAACAGTCTGTGCACAGTCTCTTCCAAGTCTAAAATTAAGATAACTAGAGCTAATGTAACTCCTTCATTTGCAAGGTGAAAATGATGGTTCTAAAACTGTAAATTCACTGCAAAATAAAGATAGAAAAGATATTTCCAAATCCAAACCATAAAAGGAATTCTAGAAAATAAACAGTTTTACAGAGACTACTACTTACTTGCTAGACCTTGGAACTACCATCTCAGCTAGTGTTTCATACTGCTTAATCCAATCATTGTGGTTTAACCTGCAGAAAAAGTATAAGCAGCATTGGAGAAGAATAAATAATGCTACTACTTGTCATATCCAGGAAAAGAAAAAAAATATGGGACAAATAGGAAACTCAGCTACAGCAAGTATACCTCATATCTAACAAACAATTCTTCTGGTTTCCTACTGAGAATGAATTCCAAGTACACTCAGTAAAGCAGGAAATACAGTCCACCACCCTCTCATATCCAGTAACTACTGTACAAGAGGTACATCCTAGAACTAAGCTTGGAAAGGAATAAAGCAAATTTTAAATGCTAAATTACAATCAAATGTTATGGTTGATACACATTATTTCATTTAAAAAAAAAGACAATGTTGAAATCCCTATCATTTCTACTATGTGGTCACCATGAAGGGTTGGATAAAACTATTATTTACTGGATGTACACAGTACCAGGAAGTATTAATAAATAAAGTGGCAGTAAACTACGTTGCCAAGGAACACTACGTAACAACCTTGTCTAGAGGCCACTGGCTTTTGGGGGTATGGGGAGAAACAACTATGTCTGAGATTTAAAATTCAGAATAAGTGTTTGTTTCATTCTGTTGTACACAGGGTCACTATGAGTTGGAACTGACTCAACGGCACCTAACAACAATAATAACAGTGTTTGCAGGCCAGGACAGAGAATAATGCATTACGTAAGATGACCTAGGTCCTATATTTCAATTACAGTGTACAGAAAACTATGAATGCTTCTAGTTTTAAAAAAAATTTTTAAATAAAGGTTGAATGAGACAAACCTTTTATCTAGGTAAAGGTTATTTTCCTACATAGTATAAAAGCACAAATACAGAGATGTTTACTATAAATAATCAGTGTTCCAGTACAGCAGGGAGGAATTATGTAACTAAAACACAAAGCAAAACTTCTGGAACCAAACCCTTAATTTTAAGCCCATCTCCATGTGCAAAGTAGAATCCAGAAGCCTATATTCTGCAATAAGGAGAAAAAAATGAAGAAGTCAGCCACTGTAAATTCCATGGAGGTACCTTTCCCACCCCTTTCCAGGTGGTATCCTGACAACTCATAGTGACACTATAGGACAGAGTAGAACTGCCCGATAGGGTTTCCAAGGCATGTAATCTTTATGGAAACAGACTGCCACATCTTTCTCCCACAGAGCGGGCTGGGGGAATTGAACTGCCGACCTTTTGGTTAGCAGCTGAGTGCTTAACCACTGCACCACGAGGGCTCCTAATTTCATCCTAATCAGTCATAAAGACTTTTCAGAAAAACAAACACCTTCCTTACTATTTTGAAAAATCTAAAATCTGTTTTTAAAAAAAGTCAATTAAGTATTATTTAATTTTTTAATGAGCCAACTCTACCAAGCTACTGAATTTGATTTGGAATCTCAATTTATAACTGGTATCTCCATTATCAAGTTACGAACTAAATTCTACTGTATGTGTCACATGAATACATGCTGGCTGACAGAATGAATGGCAAGGTTATAGTCCCTTTACACTTTGGTTTTATGAAACTTAAAATTTCAATACTAGACACTAAAATTTTTTTTGTATTTTAACAAGTAAAAAACCTTTTGTAACAGAAAGACATACTTTGGAACTACCACCAATAATGTGATGAGATACTCTGAATCAAGAACAAAGTCATCCTTCTTCACAATTTCTGCTAGACTTCGAGTTAGCAAACTTCCCCTGAAGAATAAGAAAAAAATCATTAGGTCAATAATTATGTGCTGTAATTATATGAAGTTATGTGTGAGAATAACGAAACAAGAGGTTAATCACAGTCACACATACCACGTACATTTCTCAAGAGTGAAATGAACCTTGATTAACAATTTCATAAGAAGTCAAAATTCAGCCGAATATTTCCCACCCTGCAACCAAAGACATGTCTGCAAAACTTATCAAAAGTTGCCTCTAGAATCTCCCTCTGTATTTGCTTTAACTCAGCTTTTCTCTCGATTACATACATAACACCTTGACTGGGAAAGTGCTACCCATTAGACATCAATTAAAACGTTACTTCATTATAATTATGAAATTATATCATCTAAGCACAATCTTTAGTTTTCTCCCCTCTCCCTGGGTATCATTTGAAACCAGGCAATTTTGGTTAGTTAGCACAATAATCAACTCTTTTAAGCAAGTCTTCATTTGGTCTTCTAGTATAGTATCCAACCAATTTTCCTCTGTGAGAGGAATGCATAATCTAAATAATTCAGTTCTTAAAGCTACACTCGTAGTAGTCATACCAAATAAAAAATCAACCAAAGCAAGTGTGTCCTATTTTAAGAAAATCAACTGTGTGAAAATCTAAACTTGGTAAATAGGTAAGTTAGAGAGTAAAATAAAATAAAAGGGGTGGATCTTCTACAGAAGTCTTTTAAGGAGGCCTGGTGGCACCGTGGTTAAGTGCTCAGCTGCTAACCGAAAAGTCAGTGATCTGAACCCACCAGCTGCTCCACAGAAGAAAAGATCTGGCAGTCTGCTTCCGTGAAGATTACAGCCTTGAAAACCCTATGGGGTAGTTCTACTTTGTCCTACAGGGTCACTGTGAGTCGGAATCACCTTGATGGCAACAGGTTTGGCTTTTTTGTTTCTACAGAATTCTTTTAGGCAGCAGATATGCGATTAAACTATGATTTGATTTAAAAACAATTAAATTTAGAAAAAATTTCAGTGAAATGTCCAATGGATAAAAGTAATAAACCAGAATCTAATTCTATTCACAAGTATTAATTATGAAACAAGTATAATAAAGCAGGCTCACATCTGTTTTAATTAGCCTGAATTCTATTAACTTACTTTAATGAACTGTTCTCCATGAACAGAAAAAGCAACATAATTATAGAAACAACATGAACTGGAATTTACTAAATTCTAACAATATCTAATTCAACACGTGTTAGATTTCTGTTTCCCCAATTTTTAATATTCACATATATATGTGATATGCTTACGCATTCTTTCGCTCCAAATTCTGAAGGTTCCCTTTCAGGTTATTGTATGCAGATGCTCGAGATTTCAGGTCATTATCAATCTGAGTTACTCCCTTTAAAAAAAAGAAGAAGAAATAGGCAAAATTTCCCTAAAACTTTCTTAAATCTGCCTCTACTGATACAATTAAAGTGGCTATATTTTTACACTAACTTTTACCAAAAAACGCACTAGTTGCTGATCTAAGAATATTCTATTATTTTAAAAGCATAGCTATAAAAGGTCATGTTTTAAATAAGCTGCTTCATTTTTAACGATCATGAATCTTTTCTACTAATAATATTTTAGTCTTAAGTATTTTAATTATTATTACTGTATCAAACCTGTTGCCGGCGAGTTGACTGTGACTCATAAGATCCTATAGGGCAGAATATAACTGCCCCGTTGGGCTTCCAAGGCTGTAATCTTTACGGAAGCAGACTGCTACATCTTTCTCCCAAGAAACAGATGGTGGGTTCGAACCACTGACCTTTGGGTTGGCAGCTGAACACTTAACCACTGCACCACCAGGGTTCTTATATTACCTGCTACATCCTGTGTATGGAATCTAGGTCACTGGGTTTGGGGATTACTAATTAAAGTCTCCTGTTCACTAGCCTGAAAGATTAATTTCTAAAAGGAACTAAATTACGTAAGAGAATTTCTTTGTTCACAACCCTATTATCATTACACAAAGCATTTTCCCTATGACATTAAAAATTTAGTTGAATTTATTTATAAATGTCACCAAAGATGATTTTTTCCAAAAGAGAGCTTTCAAAAAAATCTCCAACAACTTTGAAAACACAAAGTAGGAGATTTAAAATTTGAAGAGCTGGTTTGAACTCATGGCTGTACCACAATCAGCTGTGTGGCACTGAGGTAAGCCACTTTACCTTTAAGACTATTTCCCTTCTGTAAAATAAAGTATAAATATTGGCTCAGATCTGATACATACAAAAAAAACTTTCAAAATAATGTCATACCCTCTAAATTAAAAATGCTTATAACCTAATACAGTGATTTTTCTGGCTGTACTCAAAACATGGCTCATTAATCATTAGTTCTATTTTAATCAGATATACTAATGTAAATAAGTAGCTTAAAATTAAGACTATCAATTTCATTTCCACAAGATATAAAATGTACATTTTTCTGTGTCTTAATTTTTTGCATCTATAAAATTGTAAGGCTGAAGGATTTCCAAGTTCTCAATTTTAAAATTCCAAAATTGTATTCTCCTGATAACACTACAATCTACCAAAAAGAATACAAGATGTTAAATAGCATGTATTTCATGCTGATTAGACTGAAAATCAGGTCAGATTAAAACTGACCATCTCTAACTAGCCTCCTTTTCCTTTCCCTTTAAGCACTGCACTTTTACAGAATGTCTGGCTCAATTTTTAATTCTCAATGCAATAGAAAAATCATTGATGTTAACTTGAATTTAAGCATGTTTCATGTGATTTGTGGCCATGTAACCATAGATTAAAAGGTTACCCTATTACAAATGTCATCCTCATGAGTGATTACAACATTTCTACTATGTAACTTCCTACTCATAATTTTAGTAAACTGAGGTTCAAATTTTTGTCCATTTCTTTTTACTGTTCAATTTACTGCTCACTGAATAGAAGAGACTGGATGTACATTTTTCTAGATAATCCTGATCTGAGGAATTTTCTCAAGCTGAGTAATGTTACATATTTAAAACATGAGGTCTTTAATTCGATTTGTCAAGGTTTTATATGACGTCCTGATGTCAACTTTCCTTTAACAGCCTCATCTGTTTGCTACTCTACCACTTACCTAATGCCACAACTACAATAATCTTCTTTTCCTAGATTCTACATGCTCGTTCCCCCCTCCATGACCTTATAAACGCTGTCCTCTCTTAGTCCCTCTCTTGTGTGCCTGCACTCCAACTTGCCCTTTCAGACCCCGCTCAAATATCACCTTCTGTGAAACTTTCCATGACTCACTAATAGTTCAATCCTCTGTGTTCCCACAGCACCTTGTTATTATGTTTCTGTATCTATCTCTTTGGTTTCTTCCCTCGCTCCAAACTCAATTTGAAGATTATGAGCAGTATTTCTTGATCTTTGTATTCCCAGAGCCTAGCTTATATGCTTGGCACATTTGATGTACTCAAAGTACATGAAGAATTAAACTAGCATTAAAATTGAACTTTTCTATTAAAATTATTTTACACATGTTGTTCTTTGAGTCATGTCTGTCCTCAGATCTTAACAAGCTAAACTGTACTTTTCACCCTAACCAGGCCCTTAAAATTATTGGCAAACAATAGGTCCTTGTAGTTTGCGATCGACTGCTAACCTAAAGGTTGATGGTTCAAACCCACCCCACAGATCTTTGGAAGAAAGGCCTAGTGATGTGCTTCCTTAAAGATTACAGCCAGGAGAATCCTATGGCACAGTTCTACTTTGTTCCACATGGAGTCGCCGTGAGTTGGAACCAACTCGACGACAACGGGTTTGAAATTTTTTTTTTTTTTTTTTTGTCTATTTGTCTCATTATAATTTCTGGTAAGAATTTTACACTTTCTCTCAAGCTCAAGGATTCTCAATATAAAACTTGTTGCCATCAAGTTGATTCCGATTCATAGCAACCCTACATGACAGAGCAGAACTGCCCCATAGGGTTTTTCCAAGGAGCGGCTGATAGATTTGAACTGCTGACCTTTTGGTTAGCAGCCATAGTTCTTAACCACTGCACCATCAGGGCTTCCTCAATATAAAAGAAACTCTTTATTTAGTGAGTTAGTGGATGGGTTTCAGGGTTCCTGTACTCTCTGCAATTGTGCGTAATACCATGCGATACGTGAATATGTGCACTTTTATGGGTAGACGACCAATACTGCAAGTCACAAGGGGTCAGAGACCCCACAAGGTTTAATATTTTTAATCAGTTGTTGTTAGCTGCCATCCTGTTGGCTCCAACTCATGGCAACTTTATGCATAACAGAACTAAAAGATCCCCAGTCCTGTGCCATCTTCATGGTCCTCTGTGAGTACCATATATAAAACATGCCTAAATGACTACTAAGAAGCCCTGGTGGCACAGTGGCTAAGTGTTCGGCTGCAAACCAAAAGGTCAGTGGTTGGAACCCACCAGCCGCTCTGTGGGACCAAGATGCGGCAGCGTGCTTCCATAAAGACTTACAGCCTTAGAAACCCTATGGGGCAGTTCTACTCTGTCCAACTTTCTGTGAGTTGGAACTGACTCGACAGCAACAGGTTTGGTTTTCATTTTTCTTTAAAAATTTTTCTTGTTTAAAAATTGTTGATGCATCATTTGAAAGTTAATGAGGCAAATAAGTAAACTTGGGTAATCTACCCATGAAAGTGTTAAATATATATATTTAATAGATTATCTTTTAGAGCAGTTTTAAGTTTATAGAAAAACTGTGCAGAAAGTACAGAGTTCCCATATACTCTCCTTCCCCCCAACTCACTGTTTCTCCTACTTTTAACATTTTACATTCTTGTGAGTTATATAACATCTTTTTTTAGTAAGGTTTTAACAAGCATACCTCCTGTTTGTATCTGTGACATATAGTTAAGATGCTTTGTCAAAAACCTAAAAAGTATTTCATAGTAAAATACTTACTTATAAAATAAATCCACTACAAATCAGCGCACCCTCCCTGTCTCAATTTCACTCTTACCTTGGCAATTATTTCAGATATATTTTTCAGGGACTGCTTGATTGGGTATTTGGCCATGTCCCACTGGAATCTTGTTATATATGTGACCAAGTCAACTGAAATGAGAGAATAATTGTTGAAGATGAAGCAATGAATTTTTTTATAGCTTGTTACACAATAATACATTTTAATGCTGAAAATGGCCTTAAAAAAAAATCAGTAAAGATCTTATTTCTGAAGAGCCCTGATTAAATAAATATGGAACTACATTAAGTAACATGGATTAATCAAAACTCTTACCTTGTAATCTAGCCAGATCTTTTCTCCTGACTCAAAACTTGAACGTACATATTAAGACACTTCCTCTATTTTCATGATTTAATAAATGGAATATGCATATACCCATGATACTCCTCCCACAGGAGAAAGAGACTTGAATATTAAGAAGCTAATTCAAATTATCTCCTCAATAAGTAGAAGCTGAGAAAAATATGTTCTTCCTCTGCCAACTTACCCACACAAACTGAAAATGAACCTGCCAGTTAAAAGTATGCGATGATAGTTTTTAGAAGTCTACACTGGGTGAAGCCTACACTGCATGTAATCCTTGGGTGGCGCAAACGGTTAAGTGCTCAACTACTAGCTTATACAGTTTGAACCCACCCAGAAGCACTTTGGAAGACATGCCTAGTGATCTGCTTCCAAAAGATCACAGCCTTGAAAACCCTATGGCGCAGTTCTACTCTGCTACAGGTCAGAATCGAAACAACTCAATGCCAACTAACAACAACGCACTTCAACAATCTTCAAAATACAGATCCATTCACTCTCAAATGGGGAGAATAAAAACTGGGGAGCCAAAGTGACACGTAAACTACTTGGAAGTTTAGGAATCAAGACAACTTTACCCTCAAATCTGACAGGATCAAGGTCAGAGAAACCAAATGTCAAGTATGACAAAGCTAACTAACAAAACAGTTCATATCAAAATATCTTTCTCTCCTCGACTTCTCCTTACATTATACCCACAGCCAACAACACAGATGATATTCCAGAAGTAATTTTAGATGCACTGTCCCACAAACTGTCCAGCCCCATTTCACCTACTACATTGACTGCCCTAGTTCATCAAATACCTAGAAGATCAATAAAGACATCATAAATTAACATATCTCCCTCCGGATGTCCTAAAACACAAATCGATGGAAACGGTAAAAAATTAGGTCAGATCATTATAACAAAGGGTAAGAATAAATTACTATCTTTTTTTATTGATTAAATAAATATTTACTGAATATCTATTTGCAAGAATAAATGAGATTAGAGAACACTGGATTTAAAATACAATGACCTAACATAGCAGGCAACACAGTACATAATTAAAAATCACTTTTTATTACAATGACTTACATCATTAAAGACAGACCTATTAAAATGAAGCAAATGCTAAAGATATTTCACAGGAAAATAACAAATATAAGTATAAACGACAACAATAAGGTCAAAGCTATCTTTACAAAGCCATTATTAACACAGAGCAAACTCTATGTAAATATTTGTTTGTAGCTATGGAGAGGTCAGTAGCATAATATTTTATGAGTACTAACAAAACCTGTTGCCTATGAGTTGATTTCGACTCATAGCGACTCTGTAAGCACAGAGCAGAACTGCCCCATAGGGTTTCCAAGGCTGTAAATCTTTCGGGAAGCAGACTGTCACATCCTTCTCCCGTGGAGCAGCTGGTGAGTTCGAACCACCAACCTTT